TTCGGAGTGGTAAAATTAAATACAAAGACAGGAAATGTTCATTGCATGAACTTATACCCGTATTTAAATATATATATTCTCAAATTACGGGAAACTATCAAATTCAGAATTCACATCCTGGTGCTGGTAAGGAATCTCGATTATGAGTGGCTAGAAAATATTTATACAGTTTTATTTCTCGTATCGTATTTTTTGTTTTTAAATTTTGTTTCTCGTTCTTCCTTTTAGCACTCAGCCAGTATGTTACTGCATCTTTAAATAACGATTAAAATAACGTGCACTTCTTGTTCTCCCTAAAGGACTTATTTATCTCAATCGCAGCCCCCCCCAACGTAAACTTAGTGACGTTACAAGTACGTGTAACGTATTAGGGTGTTATTAGTGCTAAGAAAAAGAATGATTGGTATATCTACCATCTTCTGATACAGTATTTATACTTTACAGCACAAAACTTGCATTTCTTTACATTTCATTGCTCTTTCGATCGTGAAGTTAAAATGCCAATATCCTAATTTCACAGTTACGAGAGAATGATAATACACATTAATATACATATATTAGTCCTTTACATAATATGATTTAACAGTACAGTATATGCAGTAAATATACTACTTTATAATGTAAATTCTGATAATTTTGTTGGTTTCTGCGCCATAATCTCTTACTCACTCACTCACTCTGATAATTTTGTCAATCTGAAAATTGATACTTAGTTTATAAGCTTGAAATTTGGTGCTCTTAGAAAAAGGAAATCGATATCAAAATCACATACAGCAAAATATCACGCAGTTGAGTATGGGACTTAATTTCATTTGTTGATTTAAAACGGGTTCGTAACACTTAGCCGACAACCACTTAGCCAACGAGACACTTAACCGACACGGACGCTTAGCCGATAGGACATTTAGCCGACACGGACATTTAGCTGACAGGTCATTTAGAAGACACATTTAGACGACAAGGATGGCAGGACATTCAGCCAACACACAAAGTTAGCCATCAGGACATTAGCTACGGTACATTTAACTGTCAAGATACAACTGGATATTAAGCCCACAGTGACGTTTAGCTGACACGTACCCAATAATTATTTAAATTTATTATCAATAACAAAATTTCTCGAATTCTCCATAATTTCAATATTTAAGTAATTTTTTTCACTTCTCAGTAAAATTCATTTTTCGATTCTTAATGATCCTATATGTGCTTTTAATTCTTGTGTAATTTAGCATAGTTTGATTTATATCGTGCTGTTTGGTATATATTGGCGAAATTGAAAAAGCGTTGAAATTGCTCGTCAGATAATATGAATTAATTTTCGAAAGGAAAAAAAAGAATAGTTAAGTACGACGGTCACTTAGTTACATTTTAATACAGGATCTGTAAAAATTGTCCGTAAAGTTTTTCATTTAATCATATGGGTTCCTTTGAACACTTTCACATCATTAATAATTTTTCTTGTTAACTTAATGATATTAATTTTCCAATCTCGCGCTCTTCCTAATGCTTTCAAATTTCTGATACCTTTACGTTTCAATTACTATTAACTTAACGCGTCATGCTACATTCCTTTCCTTATAAAATCGTTTCGCTTCTCTCACTACTGAAATTTCCTTTCCCTGTCATGAAATATCTGAATGATGCAATAAAAATTATTATTATTATTGAATTATACTTTCTATAGAAACATTAGCGGTGAAGGTTTAGTTTAGCAAATACATTTTATTTTACTGAAAACAATTAAAAAAGCGAATTTTGAAGACAAGCAAAGCTTTAAATTATTTGTGACCTCTAAATTAGGCATTTCATGCCACTATTCTTAAGATAAGAATAAACAATTCATAAAATGTCACGGTAATTGACCTGTCTTTGGTCACCTCTGCATCGCTTCCATCTTCCGGAATCCAGCTTTTACCGATATACCACTAAATAAAACGATCACTCTGTTTCTGTTATGCACAGCAGCGGCCGAGCGGCAAAGTCGCTGAGCACTGGTAGTTCGGTCCGAATTTCGAATCCCGTGAAAGGACTGGCTGCCTGTGTGTTTTCGTGGTTTTTCCCATGTGTAACGTGTATACGAGCAAGTTTTCCTTAGAAAGTCCTCCCTCCTCTTAGGTAGATAGCCCTCTAACTTAGTCGAAACCAAACGAAAACAAAGTGTTGTTAGGTGGCCGCAGGCCACGAGGCACGAATTTCTGTGCCAGAGACCTAGCTCAGATTAATAAATATACGATGTCTAACGTATAAATAGTATTCTGACGGTGTAAATAGCATTTCAGAAAAAAAGGTAGTCCCGTTGTGACGAGGAGTAGGGCGAATCACTCTACTTTCTGACAGGAAAAGGGAATTTCATTAGTGGGAGGAGCGAAACGACTTTATACGGGAATGAATGTAGTGCGATGTGTTGAGCAAAGTAGTAATAAAATATGAAAGTATTAGAAATCTGAAAGCATTGGGAAGAGCGAGACTCATTGTCGCCTTAATCATTTTGTCGCCTTAACTCATTGTCGCCTTAGACTCAATGTCGGCTAAGTGTCTGTGTCGGCTAAATGTCCTGTCGGCTAAGTGTCCATGTCGGCTAAGTGTCTGTGTCGGTTAAGTGTCCATGTCGGCTAAGTGTCTGTGTCGGCTAAATATCCTGTCGGCTAAGTGTCTGTGTCGGATAAACGTCCTGTCGATTAAGTGTCTCGTCGACTAAGTGGTTGTCGGATAAGTATCGGGCGACTGAAACAACATTTGAGGAAGAATAAAAAAATGCAACACATTTGTGGGTATTCAAAAAGTAAGTTTAAAAGAAAGCTATTGATCACATTACTTTTACTATTCAGAATAGAGAATAGAGAAAATATTATATTTGATAAATTATGATGAAATTAGAATGCTCCTTTTAATAAATAACGTGAACGAACGGATATATTTCAACGACAATCCAAGAACTGAAGAAAGTAATGGGCGAGAATATATAAATAAAAGTTTTGAATACGACGTATTTCAGAAAATTTAATAAATATTAAATCGTAATGCTGCATAACGTAGCTTCTCAATATTAGCACGTAGCTAAAATATTAAATGCCATTTCTGTGTGATAAGATCCTTCTAATCCTATTATCATTTAAAGATTTCAAACTATGGAACTCATTTTTAAAATAATGAGAAATACTTAAATTTTAAGCTAAATATTTATAGTTAAGACTACAGCGAAAATAATAATGCACATCTTTGCATTATAATTTCCTCTGTAGCTGTTTATATTTCTTTTAAACAAAAATTCTCATATCAGACGTCTGTAATTATTTAATCAAAAGTGAACTGAATAATTTAAATGCTTTGAGCTTAAGAGTAATTTCTAATATAGTATATTTGTATTCATAAAAATGCAGAATAAAAATTCATTAGTAAAACTTGAAATTTAATTTGTCTTTGCAGACGCTACAGAATCCAACGTGCCTTCATTTTAAAATTAGTTTAATGTTCTGCTTTTGCATGAGAGATCGCAAACAAATATCATTGATATATGCTACAATAATCTTGTCGCAAATAAACTTCTGTAAATTCTTAATTAACTGAATACATTTTAAATCTTGAATTTCCTCTAACATATAGTCCATATTACATTACAACAAACTTTTAAAACCATTTTAAGGAATTTGACTAAAGTATTATCTGAAATAACAGAATTAAACACGAGTGCAAAATTAAGAGAATTTGCACATTATGCTGAATTTCTGAAAACATAATGGACAGATTTCAATGAAATTCGGTAAAAATATACATTTTAAACCGAAAAAGATAATAAGCCATTTAAAAGTCATTTTATGTGAGCATGATTATCAGTGAAGGGACAGGGGCATTCAAAATTCACGTTATGATATCAAAATAACTGAGAATCTGATATGCAGTTCTCACAGCCAGAGAGGTAGTGCAACGTAACGACATAATAGTTAGGAAGCAATTGATGAGACCCTACGGCAGTTGATTCCACTCCTGCTGCTAAGCAGTTTTCAACTCCGGGATGATTCTCGGAGGGTGATAGTAAGATGCATTTGCCCTCCCAAGAGCGTCCCAGACATGTTGTATAGAGCTGAAGTTAGATGTCTGCATAGAGGTCAGAAGAATTGGTTGGCCAATCCATACGGCTAATATCGTTACTTTTCAGGTAATCGTCGACCAGCTGAAACCTATGTGGCGAGTGTTATCGTCCATTAACAGGAACCCAGGATCAACTTCGCCCCTCAGAAATCGAACACACGGCTCTACGATCTCCTTTATGTACCTCAGAGCAATCAGGGAGCCTTATTTTTAAATTTCTTACTTTTTTGAGCTTGTATGTTTGAAATTCGAATAGCTGGTAAAGTTACAGCATTAGAAAGGATGTTTGGTGGAATGCTGTCCTCCTCGTTTTATTTATTTATTACGTGCTTCACCTTTAGGCATCATACGGCAAGCAAGGGACTTTTTAAGAGAAACTGGCTCACATATACATAGCCACGATACACATGGGGAAACCATGAAAACGCCCATTCAGCCAGCCCATTGGCCGATGCTCGAAGCCCGAACCTAACTACCAGTGTTCAGCAGCTCTTAGAGCTCGGACGCTATTTGCGGTGATTAATCACTAACAGGTACTTATATTTAAATGCTGATGAGAGTCGTCTTAGACTACACAGTCAAATAAATTAGCTATCAGCTGAATCAGATAACTTACCTCCATAAATTTATATCAGTTGGCTGCAAAAGTATGTAAATCTGAAGTAATTACATTTAGATACAGCTGGAAAAATACTAACAAAGCTACGCGAGTGCCAGCTTAAATACACTTAAAGCTAATTTGCATTCCGATGAGGAATACGGAAAGAAAAATTTAAAGTAAAGATAAAAATCGTAATAATTAACATAAGAAATTTACATCACTGTAATGCGTGATTATAGAGTTCAAAAGAAATTTTAAAACAGTCAAATTGATTAGTAAAATTTTAAGTAATTTGAAACGTTATACTTACCTGAAAAATTGGGTGGGCATATGCATGAATATTCATGTTCCTCCGATAAAATACATGAAGCACCATTTAAGCAAGGTATACTCGTGCAACTGTCATCATTACATTCCTCTGAAAAAGAGTAATTTATATAGCAGGTTTAAGAAAATAATTAATATTTAAACATTAAATTTGGCTGATGATTAATATAATTTTTCAATGATGAAAAGCTGGGACTGACTTATTTTGATGATTAATATAATACTAAAAATGCAGTGATATAGCAATTATTCTGATAACAAAATTAAAAGTATTGATTTTATAGATGTAATTTAAAACTTATTTGCATAAGTATTCTCTCGATCAAGAATCAGCCTTTGGCGGAAAGTAGACGTTATTTGGTACTGTCTGCTGTCACTAGATTTAGATATTGTCGGTTTTGTGACGCCATCAATATGTGGTGACGAATATTATTTGGTTGTTTTTCTATCCAGTTCTGAGTTCTCAGCTAGATGGCACCTATGAAGGTTAATGTTAGCTGTTTGGTGCGAGAACTTGCGACCTTTTGATTCGTAGCTTGATGATCAAAAAGACTGCTCTAAAACAGTCGTCTAAACAGAGTAATACCTTCTGCGCGGCGAGCAAAGCTACTAGAAGTCTAGTAAATTATGAAGATTGTTCTTTGATCAAGAATAGAACCAAAAATTTTCTCAATCTGCAAGTCAGTTTTGACCACCTACCACCTTCTGGTGCTGCATACACTGCCTATGAGAGCAGCGGCTCTGGGGGTACAATAACAAGAACCCGGTTCCTGCTGCCAGTAAGGGCAGCCTATGCTGTGCCGGAGGGCAGTGGTTTCGGCGATCCGAGTAGTAGCAAGAAGACTAATAACACGGAGTTCACCCTCTTGTGGTCTCCGCGCGCCCAAGGTGAGGACGAATGCTTAGTGTGCCGGTTCAAGAATTTAAGAAAATGTTCTTTTCTAAAGTCTGCATTTGGGAACTAAGGCTTCGTTTTGTAACAAAAAAAAATTTGCATAACCCTTTTCCAAAGTGATTTTGATTCCCGCCTATTATGGAAGTCAGTGTGTGTGACCTCATTGTGTCCTTTTGTGCGAAGAAATGCTTAATAAAACTTGACTACTTACCTAGAACATTAAGTAGTTAATGTTTAATTTTATGTCTTCGGGATAGAATATTTTCAAAATTAAAGTTTGTGAAAATTTAGGCCTTTTTTCAGTTTACGCAGAATAAGGAACTAAAAATATGGAAAATATGTGCAGATCCAGTTATCTTAGATAACAAACTGCGTTTGTTAATTAATCTTCTTTATGCATCGCTTTACTTTTGTCTATATACTACCGAATTCTTAAGCCTGAAATAAAACGAATTTAATAGTTATTAGATTAGTTTAATTAAGTTTATTTGAAAGAGAAGAATGAATAAAATTTTCGAAGTTGTTTTATTTCACTTTATTACGACCAGTCAAAATACGCAAAATAATAGCAAGGTATTGCTGTAGGTATACGAATTTAACTATATGTGACTTAGCATTTTACTGTTGTCAAAATGGTAAAATCATCAAACTTTTGAAGCTTTCATTTAGATTTATGAATATTCCAAAAATTCCAGTCTAATACGAATATGTATTCCTTCATTTATTTAAACGCATTAAAATAAATAAATTGTTGAATGCAAGTTACTTTCATTTGAATATTTGAAGAACTCTAAACGGTTCTCCTTTCAAATCAAATTGAATATTTTAAGGAAATACATGCAATTTAGGCTTACTCTCATCTTTTGATAAATCTCGCAAACTAGTGCTTAACTTGCTGAAGCTTTTCCAATATCAAATTAGATAAACGAATTTCAAATTTATATACCAACTTTCATCGGATAAAAATGATGAAACAAATCATTCTAGAAAATTTAATTCATTAATGTAAAATCTTATGAATTTTTAAATATCTTGAAAGTTATTACTTGTTTCGTGATTTCCTTTTAAAAACTATACTAAATTTGTTTATACTCAAACTAGAATTCGTTATCTTATTTAAATAGTTCACAGACATATACTTAATTTCAGCGTTTTTAAAATTCGCAGTTCAGTGTCTGCAATCTTTAGTTTGCGCATATTAAATATAATATTAGAATTTTTTTAAAAAATCGTTTCTTTAAATACATTTTATGTAAATTAAATTTAAAGTGCTCAACGAAACGTTTTGCTTTTGAATGGTGAAAATATTTCCTATATTAATATGAAATTTGATTTATATCAAGGAAAAGGTATAAGCGAAAAGTATTCATTACCAGTATAAACAATTTTAAAGTTAAGTAAGATTCGAAGTTTCCAGTGTATGGTGAGGTTAAAAAGCAATTACCTCTTGAAATAAGTTTTCAAATGTCTCAAAGCCAAACATATTTATGTACAGAAAGCAGAGTCGTAAAATATGATATACAGCGTTAATATTTACCCCTCTAAGGCCTGTATCACACGGCATTTGTTTCACACGAACAGCTGTTTCGGACAATTTTTCTGCCTGGTTTACTATTGAAAATAAGACGCGCGATTTTTTCCTTCCTTTTGGAAAAAAATTGCAAGTTGTTCGTTTTCAACCAATCAGCTATCAGCTTAAGTATAACGGAGAACCAGTTTCCCCTGTGTTAAAGGCAACGCGATCTATGGTTGTGACAAAGCAGTAAAATTGTTCCAAACAGTTGTTCTTCCGAAACAAAAGCACGTGCGATAGTAGCCTAAGTATCAATAAAATACATCGTGTATTATATAAGTTCAATAGTTTTGCTTAATTCAGTCAATGTATAAACATTACAGTCATGTGATTCATTGTTATACAGGATGTCCCATCAAGACCGCCCGAACTCTGCACAACCAAATTCCCCACTTGGAATACATAAAAAAAAATAAAAAGAATTGCACTTGAACAACCCACCTTTTTCAGGTAAAATGCAAGAAAAATTATGACATCACATTCGGCGGAAGAGGAAAAATCTTTATTGGAAACATAAATATCGGTATTTGAATATGTTTACATGGGAAGATGTTCAAAATGTTCACGACGCATATTGAGGCATACATGCCCGCGCCATGGAATGACGTCAAGTTATCGTTTCAGTCGCTTATAAAAAACCGTATCTAGCAGCTACCAGCTACTTCGCATGGTAATAATGTATTCCGTTTGTGGATATTGCTACATGTACTTCATCTTCGTTATGGTAGTGACTTCCGAAATGCCACGGCCTTAGCTATCCATAATGCCGTCCTCCCGATACCAAAGTCATCAGCAGGTTAGACGACAAACTGAGAAATCTGAAAGCGGCCATTTGGCACACATGTCCACGATATTGGTGGAAGAAACGCACGGTGGGCTTGCGTCAGCATAGAAAGAGGCATTACTTCGACCAGTGGAAGAAACACCTGAGCTGAGCACATGCGCACTAGCCAGGAAGCTGAATGCGAGTAGTAGTATTGTGCATAAGTTATTACGATTAGAGAAGCTATACCTATTTCGCTACACATGTGTACGATGAAGCATGATGAGGTCTTCAAGAGTCATAACAGCCATATGTGATCAGAGTCCAATCCTCATGCAGTCCGCCGGCAGAGACATCAGGTTCGTTGGCCTATAAACGTGTAGCCCAGCATACTAGGAAATCGCATGTTTTGACCACATGTGCTGCTTGAATTGCTCACGGGACATTCATACATGGTATTTCTCGGTGATGTATTAACATATTATCTAGATGGCATACCTTTAATGCAATTCATGGTCTATGGCTCCAGCATGATGGAGCTCGAGAGCATTTCAGTGTCTCTCTGCATGATTGGCGGAATGCGGAATACCCAGGCCGCTGGATTGGAAGTGTGGGTTTATAACAGCCACCATCTTCAGATCTGACATCTTCCTATGTATCATATAAACCAAGTGGTTTATCGAGACTTAGTTATTACAGAAACTGATTTAATGATGCTTCGACGGGCACCGCGCTTCTGCAACATGTGCAAACAGCCACTCTAAGGCACGGGCATCGATGACTTGATGTGCGCTGTGGGTATTTGGAAAATCTCCCTGTGAAATATATGCAAATAGCGATGTTTATGTTTTCAATAAAAGTTTTTTTCTTGAACCGGGTATGATGTGTTACTATTATTTTGCATTTATCTCGAAAACTATAGGTCGGGCAAGTACAGTGCTTTGGGCGTTTTTTTATTTAATCCAAGCGAGGAATCTGGCTATGCAGAATTTGGGCTGTGTTGGTGGGACACGTTGTAAAGAGATAGCCTGAAAGAAATAAACAGATTAAATGTTTACATACAGAAAGCTATTTGCTTTTATCAGGGAGCATTTATTATTCTTTTGCACAAGAACGTCTTCGAATCTGCGACTTCAGCTCTTGTTTGTTTCTGTTCTTGTGATGTCAATAGCATCAAGTGAATGCTATTGACAGTCGAGTAATATACTCGCTAATAAAATACTAAAGCTTTTTGTGTCTCGAAAGTCCAGAAATATTTTTTTTTTACTTTTGTAGAGCTTTGTTTTAGAGCACGAAATGGATGAATATCTGTCTAACTATTCAGTTGACTTTTCAAAAGATAAAAACAGGCATGTTAGCTGTGAAGCAAATTATCATGTTGGCCATCAAGACAAGAAGTCAGGATAGAACACCGTATGAGCTACATCAAGGACTGAGTGTTCGTTACTCAACTTTCTCCAAATTTGGATGACAACAGCGCATTAGAACAATGTTACGATTTCTCACATGGAGTTGTTACGGCGTGTTTGGGAAGACCTTGATATTTGCATTGATATCTAACATGTTACAACAAAATCACACATAAAATATTTTTAACTTAGCAATGTAAATTTCAAGACATACACTTCTAACTGTATATACATTTCAGCGATTCTATTAAAACTCTTGTTTCTATGAACGTCTGAAAGTGCTATTTTTCATGCTAATCCTGTATTATGCTCATATTTTTGAAAGCAAATAAATGTGCTTGTATGCGTCTCCGTTTACGGATGCATTGTTTCTTTAAAATCATTATGAGAGTTCCGTGATGAATTATAACAGAATTTAACAAATTTTATTCGTACAGTTTTAAAATTTTAATGCATATATGCATAATGTTTCTTCTTTTCTTTTATAAAAATATATATATGTTGGTAGAGATTTTAAAGAAAGGAATATTCTGGATTATTCCCTCCAAACTGCAATATTAGAAAATGCAAGACTGAATTTCACTTTCTCTGGCGTCAAAAATAGCATTAAATCTAAATCTTGTTTCTTCTAAAGTTTTATATAAAAACTACGAAATAAACGGGAGATTTTAAAGATTTTCCAGAGAGTTGACTTTATCGAAATACTTAAAATAGCTTTTCGACTGCCTGTGAGAATTTTGCATATGTTTCTGTTTCTTAAAACTGCAAAAAAAGCAGCAAACTACGAAAGCATAATGGGCTTCAGTTTTTTATAACAAACGTGGGATACAGAAACGGAAATACTTACGTATTTCTTGAGCTTTGAGGACTTCTGTTCCAGGATATTTTAAATCGACAAATTTTCGACCTATTTTAAAATGTCGAATGCATCCAATAAAGCCTGTAGATACACCTATATTTTCAAAAATCCTATAAAAGATGGTCATTCGTTAACATTATATTTCAATCATTCGTTATTACATCTATATTTCAATAAATGCAACATAATAAACTCTCAAATATCACTAGATATGCCAGAAAGGTTATTTTAAAGTATTTATTTAGTTTGAAATTTTTAGTAAAAGCTTCGTTTTCTTTTAATATATTTCCGAATTAATTGCTATTAAAAATCCAATCGTACCACGAAATGAAAAGACTACTTTTCCATTCAGAAGACTATTATTAAAATATATACTTTTATTAAAAATGAGTATGTATTTCTTTATAATTATTCATTAAAAAGTACGTTTTCTATAAATCAAATTTCCGAACACTTGAGACATAATGTTCGCCAGACATGGGCTCATTCTATCGGTCACTTAGCTATCTCACCACAGAAAGCGTTGATGATGGTGCACCACAGGAGACGACCGACATTTCTCATGTGAGTTGGAAGGAAGTAAACGAAAAAAAAAAAAAAAAAAAATCTTAGCGGACTCGAACCCGCATTCTGGAGTAGCACTCAGTATTTTCTAACCCCGCAAAACATTTAAAAGATTAGACGCATTATAAATGGACAGTAAAGTAATAGAATATAATATGAATTCTTTTTACATGCTATTACAATTAAACATAGAAGTATCAAAAATGTTTTTCTTCTTTTATTAGGAAAAATGTAAATAAATTCAGGTTAAAAAGTTCCTATTTGCCAAGAGGTTAAGAAAGAGTGTCATTTGGAAGAAATTTCACTTTAAGTCTGCATAAAAATGGCGGATACAAAATTAAAGAAAACAAACGGTAATATGCGTTCAAAGAGTAATATTTAAGCATCGAATTACTTTTTGCTTTAATGCATAAGAAGTAGTAACAGAATATAAAGCAATGTGAAAATGTTTGTTTAATGCTGGAAAATCTTAAAATGTCGTATATTTACATTTCATCATTAGTAATCGAAATTGGATAGGCTGAAAATGACGTTTAAGTGGTTTTGAAGATATATTTATCTACAACGATATACTATGTCTACAGCATTCGGCTTTAGAAGTGTTTTAAAAAATATTTTTTAACGTAATAATATTTAAATATTTAAAATATTAAATTGACCTTACGTTTTGTAAACTATTTTATATCTTGCTTTTTATAATACAATATGAAAGTAATATCCTAGAAGTATTCCTAGAAACGACATTAGATAGAGATGAAAATGTTACACATAATGTGTAAATCATCGTTAATTTATTACATTATAATGTATAAATACTTTATTTCATGAAAAGAAACAAATTCATTTTGTGTCTTAATTATGCATTTTGTTAACAATAATCTTCAAGAAACACAATAACAGTACGACCCTATACTTAATTTATTCAATAATTTTGTACTAATTGAACTTTTTGTAATGCAGAATATAGATTACATTAAGAAACTATTAATTGTGTTACAATGATTTTAATTTGACTCAAATTTATTCCTTGATATAAATCAGTGAAACAAAATAAGAGCTACTATCTTGGATTGATGACTAAAAGACTGCAGCAAATGGGAAAAATATATTAAAATGTGAAATTTGCATAATATATGAATGAAGTTCTATAGTCGATGTTATTTACCATGTTATTTTGAAAAGATTGGAAAAGAACCTGTTGTAAAAACATCTCAATAAATTAATTTTACAAGATGATTTATTTTTCACTTGATCACAGTTAGATTTTGAGTTCTCAATTTTCGTATTAAATTTCTTTAGGGAATGTTCAATTTAAGTTACTTAAAGATCAGTGCAAGTTGCAGCTACAATCATCGTAAATCTGGAAGTAATTTAGTGCATTAAACATAATACGTAAATTCTGAATGCCCACTAAATTAACTTATAATTATGGTTAAAGTCATCACGAGTAAGTTTGAACTCGTTAGTTTTGTTATTTATTCATTAGAAGTTTAAAAGATAAAGGAACCACATTTTAGGTTATAAAGTAACTGTTTAACTCTAACTGGAAAATAATTTCAACTTTGTAGTTACTTATATAAACTTAAAATGAAGTTATTTCTATTTACCTGCTTTATTTAGTTCTGCAACTGAAGTCTGGCTAATAATGTTGGCCATACTATTTTTTTTTTGTTTATTTATCTGATTAATTTTATTTTATCCATATCAATATTCGCTTTCATTTACTAGAATCTAATTAGACTTCAGCTAATTAAGAAATTTATAGTTCTTTACTCGAGGAATACATTAAGCACTTGGGTATTAGACTGATGCATCATTTACAATACCACGTTTGACTCAGCTTTCCAGCAGAAACTGTAGAAGATCCTCTGAAATCTTCTAGAAAAGTGTGATTTTTTTTATTTTTTGGCTAACGAAGAGTGGCGATGGCTTCATTCTTTATTTCAGGTTCAGCTTCAAGCCGATTTAAATAAATGTATTTCAGCACTGTGTCAGTGTTGCTTTCTCTCGTATTACATTTACTGCATTTTGCTTTCTGCATTTATTAGATTTGCCGAAACATGAAGCAGAAGCAATCTGTTATTTTCAAAACATGTGGTATATTACCAAAAATTCGCAAATGTTCCAAATTTCACACAATAAAACTCGTACATAGAAGATACACGACGGAAGTGTTTTTTACAACTGCCAACAAAGTGTTAGAATAAGAGGCAACGGCAAGCTGTGGAGACTTATAATCTGATGTGATTTTAAATTCTGCTGACCAGAAAATAGAAAACCTGCTAAATCAATTTCTTGATGCTAAAAATACAATTTTTCGGGGATATTTGTTCTGGCGACGTATCGGCGAGCACCAGATAAAATGAATTATATACTTTCTCTAGCTGATTACCTAAAATCTAATATTGACTAGGACCCCTTGTTGGAGCTATGGACTCTGTTAGGCAATTCGGGGGATTACTTAAATCAGGGATGGCTAACCATTTTCGATTAGTGTGCTAGTTAAATTACGGCTTATTATTTTCAGGTGTCCAATGTTCCACTTGTTATATTTCTTTTTAAAAATCCGCTTTAAAACCCTACTTTGATTTCAAATTATCGAATTATATTTATCTGCTGTATATCTGCTGTATATTTGTTATGATGCATCAAATGTAAATTGAGAACACAGTATTTTTAAAATATTTCAGTTTAATATTAATTTAAAGTATCCTAAAGCATATAATATATTTATTGCAAGTGAAAAATAAAATAAAAGTAATCACTGTTAAAATTTTTAACTTTTTATAGTATGAAAAATTAGATTTATAAATGTAATTAAAAAATGAATCTTTAATTGGCTTTATTCGTTCAATTAAAAAATTGTGTCCCTTTATGACAGGGCTTATCAGAGCGGTTTCTTATAATCGGTTTTATAGAGTTCATTGAAGGAAAAATCTTCTCACAAGCGTATGAGGACCCAAACATTGTAAGTTGTATTACTGCAAATTGTTTCATGGGGAAATGTTATGTGGGAGATCGTTCCATTGTTCAAGGAATAAGTTTTTATATTTGGAATTCGCACACTCCACTTCTTCTAATGCTTCATTAAGTTTGACACATCAGGTTTCACCTACGTAAAAGTTTCTTGAAATTCTGCCAATTTAATATGCACCTATGTACCAGTGGCGTGCCACCGAAATACCTATCGCGTGACACAAAATCGCACGCGTGCCATAGGTCTACCATCCCTGACCTAGGCGCAGCAAACTCAGGAGGAGGATAAAGACAGAGAACTGAAATGTACGATAAATGTATATTATTTGTTTATATTAGTTTTAGCTCATAGAAAGTTACACTAATATCATATCAGAGAAAAATACAAAGTGTATTTCTTCATTCAAATGAAAGGATTGGCAAAATAGCATTTATCTGTGTTCCCTTACGTCAACTTTGCTCCAAGAAGCTTTGAAATACATTTTTAATCTGTGAATTAATGGTAAATGCTAATTTGGATCACTTATAAGCTGAAAAATTGCTTTCTTTACTAGATTTGCATATTAATTTACAAGTGCATTGTTCTAATATAGCATAATCGTACACACTTACAGCTTACTAGAAGCAGGAACATATCCAAGGAACAGATTCTCTCCAAGGTTTAGGGAATTTCTTGGACCTCCACTTTGGCCTGTGATTCCATCTTGCCCATCCACAGACAACATCCCTTCACGTTGGTACCTTCTTGCAGTTATGCGATGAAATCTACCCAACTGCAATTTCTGAGATGAACGTAGAATTAAAGGCCCACTTCCAAGATCATACCTAAATATAAGGGCATTTTAATGATACAAATTCATGCTTGCTAGAATTTTAAACAACTAAATTCATTCTAGCAATAATTAGAAATATTATGTAATTGAATGTATGTAATAATAATAATTGCTAGCAAATATAAGGAAATTTAGCAAATTACTAGACAAATTGCTTCAAAAGGAGATGTTCTCCCTTAGACATACAGCTACAAGCTTTTACAGCATAATATTATAGTATGCAGAGTTATTATTACATAGGTTGAATGCGCGAGTAATGCATCACTTAAGGGTTTTTAATCTATTATCGTTGAACTTTAGATGCTTTAGAAGAAATATTTTATCAATCTTCAAATTCTTATTTATCATAACTATAACAGATATCTCGCAAACAAATTGCACAGATTTATGTATAAAATTAAATCCGTTAACTGTTTTATGAAAACAAAATATTTATGAAACGTTTTCAGAAATGAGTTAGTTTTAAATATTTTTTTTATTTATAATATTTACAGTCAATGTTTTATAATACGTGTACATTAATTGGTAATTTTTGATTCTGAGATGTGATTATAGGTCCACTGGAACAGCATCAGAAATAGTTACATGAAAGCATTAGTTTCTATTATAGCAAAGACATTATGTTTCATTGACATTAGACAAGAAAATATATTATATTGGCACTTAATTGTTAAACCAAACACTATAATGTTTTGCTTCTCGTTTATCTTCCATGAATGAAGTACGTATTAGTTGTCCATACCAATACATACTTACTTCATATACTTTCAGGTCAGATTCTTCTGAGTATCAATATTAAATGCCAAGAATCATACCACTCTTCAGAAAAATGAAAGAACTTCGAATGTAAATTTTGACGAAACCATTTTAGCTACTTCTGCTATTTTATCTTCATTTTCTTTCCTCTTTTGTTTCTTTTATAGTTTTTTAATGAATCAAACTTCGAATAGCAATTTTAATTAAGCATTTTTAGATATCTAAACTTCTGGTATTTTCTTTGTGGCTCTGCTTCCCTCTTTGTAGCACAGAAAATATCTATCATTTAATCCACTTTGGCCGAACTCACTTCAGTTTAATTTGGTGAAGTTGAATGGCTTTTTCTGAAATGCGTTATTTCAATTTCAGTAAATATTACACTAAAAAAGTACACATCAGCAATTCAGCTTAATGGCAGAAACCAGGCATGGTTTAAATAGTCGAGATCCTCTAATCAAGATAATCAAGAAAAAAGGATCATCAGGATATGCAGAGACACCTGATACCCTCTCTTTGAGATAATCACAGGATGCATATGGATATGGAGCCCCGATCAAAGAATGCATATGCTACGAAATTTAATGGAACTGAACAAAACATTACCATTAATATCTCTCATATAAACCACGCAACGCTGAAGCATAGATAGTTACCGTGTCACAAGCGCATGCAGATAAGATTCTGCAAGGCTGTAAGGCAAACAAATTATAATGTTCCTGTTATATTAAGTAACGAGCTGTATTATTATTTAGATATGTATAATCAATTCTCTCTTCCATTTCCCTACCAGAATGTAAATAGTTCGAGATTTATTTAAGATGAGATCTTCGGATTGTAAGACAGAGCGCTTTTCTTCCTCTCGAGACCACGTTACTAGATTAAGCTCAGATTGTCTTCGGCTTGCATTATAGTTGCCGGTATTTAAATTGTTATGCCTGTGAAAAGTTTGAGCCAATTCGCATAAAATTAATAACTTGAAACTATCTGTTACTTACGTTTCATATCGACAAGTGCTTGGCTGTTTTGTAAACATAATTTCATCCATTTGTGTTCTAGTTCAGATTTAAAAAAAGGGTTTGTTTTAAAACCTTCTTAAGACTTCTCTTCATTAAAGAGGTTCATTCAGTCGAAGAGACAATTCGCTCCAAGACTGTTAAGCATTTGGACTTAGTTTATGCTAGCAAAGTAAGTCAGAGTTAATAAAGTCAAATTAAGTATATAAAGCATCAGTGTAAAATAGTGCGAGCCGCAAGAAATAAAAGAATTTTCATACTTAATGGTGCATTTAAAAATCAGTAAATATGTAAACTCTTTTCTGATACTGCAGTTGTTAAAAAAATAGAAAAAACATGACGAAAATTAGGCAGTAGCCTAGTGTTTTTTCTCGACACCTGTCATCTATTTTTTGCAATCACATTACAGATGTCTTGCGACCTACCGCACTAGCTATTTTCAAAAATTAATTTTGTTATTGTATCGAGATGAAACGAGGGCTGCATGCGGCACGTGGGTCGCAGGCTAAACATATCTCTTGTACGTTATGTACAGAAAGTCTCAACAGTTCTCTTTTCATTTCCCTTAGCCTTAATTGTTGTAGTTCTTTCTATTAGAGTGTTGCATTAAAATCCTATAAAGACTATTATGCCGGATTTTGTATTACTATTTACTGCTACATAAGTTACAGCTATTTCACAATACATACCGTAATGCGTTCATGTTAGGAAAATTATGCGTTTTTCGTATTTAAAAAATGTTTTCATTGAGTAGTTACTACAGTATATTCCAACATACAACGCGCACTTTTAATACAAAAAATTAGGTCGGACTGTACGGGTGCGCGTTATATGTCGGATATAAAAGTGGTAGATTTGAAAAGATGAGAATGCAAAAATTTGATTTCTACGTGTACCTAAATGATGTTACTGGCGATTTTCTAGGACCCACTTTATTGTTCGACCCAATGCTTGCCCCTAGTATAAGACATTTCTTTACTCCTTTCCGTAAAGCACATTCATTCCTTAGGCATTAATTATTGTGATATCATTTTTCTTTCACCCATGTGTAAAGCTTTCACCAATACCAAACATCCTTCCTGCAATATGATTTCCATTTTCTTTGTGAAATTGAATGACTTTGCCTTTAAAACCAATAATATGCTTGTGTTGTTTGCCAGAAGCAATATTTACTACTAAAAGGAACGCTAGGTCAACCATATTTCAGCTAAAGCAAATGATATTTACTAAATTTCTTCACTTCAAAATCACGGCTTCAAATGACTAGAGAAAGGGAAAACATATGACTCCTTTTACCGCGAATTCATTCGGGTCGAAAGTATATTCATATCCCAAACTTTTCCCTATTTTCTGGAAACCATAGAATAACGTTCTTGTGCACACCTGCAATGAATACAACTAACTTCTTTACAGAACTATTTACTCCCTGAAGCATTCTCCCCCCACACATATTTTCCCTCTTATTGCTTGTCAATTCAGCAAACCATTGTTCGAAAGCCTGCGAAAAATGTTCGCATGGACGACTCCAAAAGATATTAGCATGGCACATGTATCTTACAGGTTTTTTCGTTACGAAGTAGATCCGCGTTATATGATAAATATATACTGAAAATATAGTTTGAAATTGCACGTGAGCGTTATCCGCCGGAGCGTTATACGGTACTTATCTAAATATCACACTACTCATGCGCTCATACACATCCATAGGTAGACAGAGAGAATAAAACAAAATTATAGCAGTTATACATAATTTAATATCTTCTCACAGATTCATTGTAATAGCACTTTGAGTTTTCATTTTTTTAAAGTATAGTTATAATTAATTACTCTCTGCAACAGCACGGCAGATTGAATATATTATACATTAGTGAGTAAAAATAATCTATAATATTTTTTTCCTGCTTACATATAAAAAATTCATATATAATTGTTGTATGAAACAAAAATATACTAAACAATAGTATAAAATTTTGTTACGGCCGCCCAGACGGTATAGTGGTTAGAGGAGCCTGAATGCGATACCGAAGGACCTGGGTTTGAATTCTGGAGAAGGCATGGATATAAAATTGTCTGTACTTTGGCAATACGTTGCTTTCATACAACCGAGTTTGTTGATTAAAACTGAAAGATAAATTTCTTACATTTTCCTAAATGGCAACAATCTCGCGCGTTGAAGGTAAACATGTTTTATTTCGAACAGTTTTGTACTACTCGCTTTCAAATAGTTGCGTTTGTTAATCAATTAATTTTAAAGTTTTACAAAATATGAAATAAATAATAACACAGATTCAAAATTAAAATTTCGGGTTTTCAGGTACATATGTTCGGGTGGAGGACCACGTTTTTCAAAATTTTATGGCTCTAGGTAAATTTGCTTTTTCACAACGCGAGGGACATAGCAGAACTTTCATTATTTAATTTCTTTAAAAATAATACGGGGACAATAATAAAATGGCAATAACTTGAAAAGTGATACGCCGCTTATAATGAACCAAACAAAATCCAATTTCGTGACTAATATCGCTAAAAAAGATTTATGTTTGTCATTTTTAAATGCAAAGGCATGTAAAGCGAATAGTACTAGTATATATGCAAGCTAAAAAATACGAAAGCAAACTTCTAAATTTAATTTATTATAACCTCTTTTATTTTTTTATTTAATTCGGAGACATCCTTTCTCTGTCTTACAACTAGCGCTATAAATCTAAACTGCGTCATTCAAAGCAATCGTGCGATCTTACGTAACCCTAAATGCAGATGTTTCTTGCCAATCAAAGTAAACCAAAACCTTTTTTGACTCCCTCCGTCCCTCTTCTTCTGAAGTACTGCGACATTTTTTCTCTTTTCGCTTAACGTTTCCCTGTTAAGACGCTGCTGCAATCTATTCGCTTCTGTCGCTAAAGGACCAAAATTATTCTGGAAATAGGCAGGAGTGGAGTGACAAGTGAATTTAAATAAATACGGAGTTTAATCCGGCTCGACTGCTTCTTTAAAATGGATGGACGCTCTAAGCATGAAGTATCTACGCCATCAGTATTTCTGCGCATTTACATTTCCGTGTTCTTATATCAGTGCTTCCAAAATTTGTGCTATTATTATATATATATATGTAAAATAAAAAATATGTGAATCAAAATTATAATTTAAACTAACGGTAAAATTTTAATACTCCTTCTCTGTTCTAAAAATCGTAATAGCTTCTTTGAATTACGTCATTTCTATATCATTCCATTTTGCATGACCTGCGCTGCGCTGCTGACGTAATAATTGGAAACGTTTTAACTCCAAAAAGTTTTTTATTATGTGCTTCCATACTGGATAACTACGAAGTTCAGCCTTTGCCTCTGTGCTGCTTAGATGTTGTTTCATTCTGCTCTGTACCTAATGCAACAATATAAAAAAAATGTAAAAGTTCTTGAATAGGCACAACCAGAGCGCCAAATGACCTGTGGCCGCAAACGTCAACTGGACAATAAAAATGGAAATAAAACCGCCTCGACTGCCAAGTTTTTTAGATATTACCAAGTCATTATATTACCAGTATTAGCGTACTACGCAATCAGAATTCTTCCTCTTCAATATGGATCGACGATCTGTCCTATCTGAATACTCGTATTACGCATCAACACAGTGCTCCGTCTTTTCTTTGTGCTTTTATTTCATATATATATATATATATATAACCTTTTACTAAATTTATATTAGGAGATAATATAATCAATATTTCTTTAGTAAATACATTATATATATACATATATAATCTTCACATTACGACTCTTTTTATAACTCTCCTTGTTTATTCTTTTAAACTAACTACAAGAATGTGCTTTGCAATGAAATGTTATATTAAAAATTAGGTTCTAGATGTTAAGAAGCTTAGGAGGCTCAAATATAGAGCATACGATTCCAAGGTGACGCAGAGAATCACAACTGGACTTTTTCATAAAAATAAAATACAAAAGCCAATTAAAATAAGGCTGAAATTTTTATATTCAAATCAGGTATAAGTAATTAAACTTAAATATATCCCACTGAGATCTGTCCAATAACAGTTTATGTTTGAAAATATGATTTCCAGTTTCACTACTTTTACAGATATCGAGATCTTCGTAATGTTCAGATGCCGTCATTATGCCATAATAAAGATGCCATCTCCTATATGCAAAGCGGCATTGTTCGAAAAGGTAGAAGAACACTTCGGCATAAAAAAGGAAAAAACGCTTATGAAGATCTGTTTCTAGTTTTTAAAGGAAGAGTTCACAAGGAAGAGTGCGTTTTTAAGATGGTATATTCTTATAAAAAACTTTAGGGTTTTCAGAACAGTAACCGACTTGCATAGAGATGCTGATGCATTTACGAAGCAGCACTATTATGAGGACATCTCATCGTGATTCTGAAAATATTCATACGGACTCACATTCGTAATGCTGAAATCTGATTCAATAACAAAGAGATATGCACTCTTCAAAATGGGACATTAATTATCTTCTATGTCTTATTAATGACAGCGGCATCTTCTTGTTAAAAGGAATGTTAATTGAGCAAAGCAATAGTTTAATGGCTATTTGCAAAGGAAACCTCATGGAATGTGCTACAAACAACAAAATATAGGCAGTATGCTCAATTAGTTAACCATCTTGTTGAAGAAAGCAGCTGTTGTCAGCATACTGAATGAACGTTTCAAATAAACTTGACAAACCCAAACTAATATATGCTGGAAATGGTGATACAAAGACACCTTAAGCAGCGAAAAAAAATTGCTATTTTTCTATTTTGAATAGACTCACTTCCAAGCACAGAGAAGAAAATGCTAATTTCCGGAATCCAATCAGAATTGAAGAGGATGTAATTCGCTGCAGAGGTAGATGGAAGTATGCAAATATGTTAGGCCAATCACGCTTTCATGTCAAGAAATATGCAAAAAAGGCAGTCTTATAAGAAGCCAGATTTATGAAGGGTTACAGAAGTTAATTGTAAATGCTGATAGAAGATGTTTAAAACTTTCGTATAATTTGTTTTCAAGACATACGTGTTTCTATGACTTCGAGAAGACGAATGGAAGATTCTGAGCGCTGGCGTGCTGTGGGGCGCATTGAAGCAGGACAGTCGATCACAGATGTTGCTCTTTTCTTCGGCGTTCATCATTCTGTAATTTCGCGTTTATGGAGACAATTTCAAACCACACAGTTGTCCGAAGGCCCGTAGCCGGTCGCCCAAGGGTTACAACCCTCGCGGAAGATCGATATATTGCTATTGAGCCAAGCGGAATCGCAGAGCGACCTCCATACGTGTGACATTTATGATTACAGCGTCCATTGTTAAGGCGATATCTGCAGCTACTGTACGCCCAGGTACCTCGAGTTTGTGTTCCTCTATCCATCCAATCAAGAGGTGCATGATTACAGTAGTGCCGGAAACATGTCAGTTAGAATGTACTGGGGCAATATCATGTTTATTGATGAGTCAAAATTTGCTCTGGAGCCAGATGACAAGCATATAAGGATATGGCGTAAACAACGAACACACAATCAGTCCCAAAACATCACCGAACATTACGCATTACGAGATGGAAGTTTATGGTGTGCTTTATGGTGTGCGTAGGGATTTCATTAGGATACCGCACCGACCTGCGCATCTTTAAACGGGGTTCTTTGACGCTGTCCGATATCGAGATGAAGTCCCAGAACCCATTGTGAGATTGTACGCTGCAGCAGTTGCCATACTTTTGTTTTAATGGACGACCATAACGCACGACCCCATAGAGCTGGCATCGTCGATGACTACCTGGAGAGTGAAGGGATTGCGCGTATGGCATGGCCAGCATATTCGCCCGACCTTAATCCCACTGAAAATCTTTGGGATGCTCTCGGCCGTGCTCTATCTTCACGTTTCCCACCTCCAGCCGCTCTTATTGAGTTGGAAACTGCTCTACAAGAAGAATGGCGATTGCTTGATTCTGAAGTGGTTAACCACCTAATTGAAAGCATGGTCACAAGGTGTAAACTTTGCATACAGATGAGGGGGGGAACACATACCCTATTAATGTCCTTCTTTTTTCATTTTATGCTGTTTATTTCCACTTTATACATAACTCTGTTTAAGTCTTCAGTATGTCATTATCTGATAACTTACAAAAAATTAATATTGTTTTCATTTCTGTATATAATTATTGATTTTTATGCATAAATATATATGCTACTTTCCTTCTGAATTTTGTATCAATCAAAGCAGTATTTGTAGATTTTTTTTGCATTTTACATCTTCGTGCTTAACTTTTGGAAGTGAGTGTATACTTCTTACTCAAGATGGATAAAAACATTTCATTAAAGAATTCTTTACCTGAACTCGATAAATCCATCTTTGACGACAAGAGATACGTAATCTCCTCTTCCAGAAGCTCTTTGTCCGTTGTAAAGTATAATACCGTCACTTGCCAAAGTACGTATTTCTAACTCGATGTCTAGGCGACTGTATGCCTGGAGTTGAGGAAGTTCGAGGAAAGAGTTCCCTGAAAACAGTGGCATGCCTATTGTGTTCCCTAGAAACGAAAGTAACTTTTATTTCAATATTTAACAATACTTTCTTTATTTTAAAATTTCAAGCACAAGAAATGAAGACATTTCCTACAAAATCAGATGTTTAGAAACAAATCCGTGGTTTAGAGCTACAGTATAAAATTTTAAATCCGAACATACAATATCCGTAATGACCTAATATCCGGATCTCTGGATAACCAGCACCACAACAGCAACAACCCCCCCCACCCTTATACAATTTAAGAATGGAGAACATACAATCAACAAAAAGAAGCACGTGTCTGCAAATGAGATTTTTTTTCCGACTAACTGAGATTCCTGCATGCCAGTTCCAAACACCTGTTTACTAGGAAACCGTGGCTGATGACAGTACCTTCATTGACGATGTATTGATGTTGGGCCACGATAATTTTTTCGGCTACCCCTGAATGATTCTAAGACGTTAGATTTATTTATTATGATTGAAGCCTTAATGTTGCCACGTCTACATAACAACTTATTAGATTTAAACTGATGATCAGATAATCCAAAATCTGGAAATTTCCGAATTGCCGACGTCCGGACGGTTTCAGATCTCAGATTTTGTACTGTATTAAAATTTTTCGCAGTTTCAAACCGAATTACTAAGCTGGGAATGATTTTAAGCGAGTCAGAGTTTCCAATTTATTACCATTTCCACAAAGCTACCAGTAATATTAGCTTTCACGGTGTTAAAAATAATAATTATTTTTAAAAACTTGGGAAATATTTGTTAATTTATATAAATGATACTTTAAATGTCACTGGTGCAGATTTTGAAGAATTTCTCTATGCCATTTAGAAGATGAGAAAATGTTTTTATCATGTTTTTGTACTTGTTCAGTACTGGAGAAACTACATTTGTTCCGATAATGATTTTAGTTGTAACTGAAAATGATTATTTCGAAGCAGGAGAGATGAAAAATAAGCAATTCCCTTGCCGGGACTCGAACCACGAACCTCTCGATTACGCGCCGAGTGTGCTGACCACTTTACCACAAAGACATGCTAATACCTTATAAATTAAAGCGGAAACGTACCTTATAATTAAAGCCTTATAAATTAAAGCGAAAATTAAAGAGAAGTACCTTATAAATTAAAGAGAATTTTTATATGATGGTTTTTAAAGTAAAAATAAATTTTAAGACAATAAAGCAAATTTATCAAATCTTTTCCCATGTTTGCAGTTTGCAAACAACACCGATATTTAGGACTTTTATCTTGTTATAACAGCTTATTTCCATTATTTTTTTTGGGGGGGTAGCATATATAAAACGTTAAATGTTTAAAACTCTATTGCATTTTATAAAATAATATTTTATAACGATATTTATGACTATTCCAAAGATAATATTTGTCACCAGAATGCACGAATACATACGAAAGAGGTTTCAAGGAGCTCTAATGCAATGCATTTTCCGTACCACTTTTAATAGTAGCAAGGATATCCCATTAGATTTTTAATTGCGGCTAAGCGCACGAGGAATGTAGGTTGAATAAATTAGGGGATGAATAAATGGTTAGGGAAAGAATAGTTTTATTGAGTACTTTATGATGGTAACCAATTTATATTTATTTTGAGACCTATTAGGTTTAGAAATAGTTGAGGAAACTCCGTATCGACTGCAACATTTCCTAACTTCTTGATAACACCGCTAGTTTGTGGTCTTGAATCGGTAGCTTGAGCCGATCTACTACAAAGCTATTGAAAAGAGGTTTTAAGTATTCCCTGTCCACGTTCTCATTAGTCGAACAACCCGCAACATTCAAGCCCTTTGAAGTCATGAAAAATTATGTTTGGCATTTCAAATATGGGTAGCAGAAATGGAATGAACTATTACTATTCCGCAGTCACTCAGTCATTATAGGGCTTTTGTTGCTTCGATGAACCAGTTATCGAATTCTGTAATGATAATTAAATCAATTAAAATTATCAGATAAAAAATATTCTGATAGAAGATAAATTTTCAGATAAAAAATGGAAAACATATTTTTAACTATTTAAAACTATGAACTTAGATTATCAAATAAAGAGATATTCTGACAAGAGATAAATTTTCAGATAATAAATAGAAAAGCATATTTTTTAACTATTTAAAACTACGATACTTAAATGCTGTCTAAAGTTGGCAAGCAATGTCAACGTACCACTTAATGGAGTTGAAAAAATCATGACAGGTTCCGGTGTGGTCTGTAGCAAGCTCTCGGCTGAGTTATCAGTCACTCCCCTCGCAATTTTAGTTTCTGCTGAAGGCGTTGTCTTTACAGCCAAGTCTTCCGTAGATCTTCGGATGGAAGTCATTGTTGTGGAAATAAAAGCACTGGTATGTGTGAAGTTATCTGCAAGCAAAATTTAATTACGCATTTACAAAAACCTAAATTAAAACAGTAAATTAAGTTTAGGGAATTTCGAAAGCATTTCTTCCAAATAAACAAAATACTACAATAATAAACAAATAAACAGAACAATACTCTGATTAGCGTCCGTAATAGTGCATCGAGAAAACGTTTTCGAAAATTAAAGAAATAAATAGTGTATAATTTAGTAAATTCTTAACAACACGAAATCTGCTGCTATATGTTGAGACACAGTTCCCCAAACGCGCTAAGTATTCTTTTCCCACGACACTCCTGACCATAAAAACAAACAAGCTTGAGCTCCTGGGATCAATGTTTCATTCCTTGTGAAGTATCCGTACGATAAAGAGCAATATTTATTGTTGTGTCATTCCATGGTATTATACATGATACTATGCAGAACAACTGCAGTATTCTTTCAATGATACATCGTCTCTGGAGGATTACATAAAGCCCATATTTCCGCATAAAGAAAAGAAAAAAACGTATATCGCAAAGGTACAATGCAGTGCACAACGATCTTTGTAACTGCTTTATATAATACTGGTAACGTGCCTTTGACAGAACACATCAGTGAAAATGTACTGAATTGATGCATACGCAATACTAGAATATTGGCATACAGTGTGATCATATATATACAAGATGTCTGAAACCTATGCCTAAATTATTCAATACTATTATCAGACTTGTATATTTACTTTTAATTAGAAAATCTTTCGAAATTAAGTGGAGTACTTTAAGTAAATAGTTCAGAAATTTCAGTGAAAGGATTCTGTAAATATAAAAAATCTGTCTTTTTACAGGATGCCCCAATAGCAAAATTTATCATTAGTGAATAATCCATAATATAATATATCAATATAAATAATATATAAATATATCATATATAAATTTTATGCAAAACTTTGCACAGATATGCCCAATCAAGGTTTTCATTATACCAAATATAGATTTTGCTACGAATGCTGTTTTACTCCGTACGAAGCCATTGATCATCAAAACAATAATTTTGTGTGTTGAAATTACACTATAATGGATTATTTACCAACTTGTATTTTTCGTTTTTATTTAGTTTATAAAATTAGATCTTTTCGTCTACAATGCTGAAACTGTGTTCATGAGAATACTCTATCTTATTTGACAATGTATTTGCAAGTACACACATACTATTAATTTCAAATACATTCAAACAAAGCCTATCTTTCATGAATAAACAGTACACAGTTTGAATTGAATAAATTAAGCCTAAATGCGATTTTTCAGAACAAATTACACGTAACACGTTCTTCTGCGTGTGATATAATACGCAGAAGAACGTAAAATATATCTGATAATACGAAGCACTTTATCGTATCAATACAGACATGAATCTCAGTAATGAGCCACGCCGCCTCCCTCCAAAAAAATTTACATTTTGCGAAAACGCGATAGAACTTAATGACACTTGGCATGCAAATAATCCAAACCCAGCTACTTATAATATGAACCATGAACAGGCACAAAACGCGTGTACGCACACCGGAACGAGACAGGCCAGCGGATAATTTTAATGGATTTAATTATCATTACGGAATTATAACGGTAGGCGAGCACTGAACTTTTAAAAGCTCAGTGCTCGCCTACCGTTATAGATTTGGTTTGGTTTCCATGAACAGGTTGTTCGCGAAAGCGAAGCAGTATACCTTAGAGATCTATCTGATGAGATCACATTCAGTTGAGTCAAGTCCAGAGTGAAAGCATCTCTTTCGGATATACTTTTTACCGTTCAGCTTAAAATATCCACATATCCAGGAAGCTGATATCGCCCAGAACCAGTGAGCGACGACTGAGGGAGCATGGACTGCACTTACAACGCATCTTACAACATCCATTGTTTATGCTGACTCATCAACAGCTGTGTTATTAACTTGAAAGGCTGGTGCCTGGTGGAATGTAGAAGATCATAATTGTATCGTTTTCAGCGAAGAACCTAGGTTCTCGTTTACCCTGATTAAAGCATCCATCTAAACAGGAGGCCAGAACAAATACTCGCCTCACAAATATATACATATCTTGCACTGTCGCGGGGGGTAACTATGACACTTGATTTCCTTAAATCAACCTGCCCAAAACCATGGCCGGCCAAAGTTACGTCGCTATGGACTTTTCTGAAACATGGATGCCCTCTCATAGCCATCCCATTCACCTAAAAGTTCCCCACTGAATTCATCTGGGCTATGGTCGAGCGCCCCTGATGTTTCACCTATAGACTGTTGTGCCTTTATTCCCTTGAAAAAAAGCTTTTTCTGAGCAAAAACCCACTACGATTGCTTTACATTTGAAAGTAGTAGAAGCGAAACAGAAATCAATACCTCTAGAAATTTAATGCAAAGCCCGTTCATCATGAAAATCACGATTTAGATTTATAGTCGAGAAAGAAGGCTAGTACATCGAACATTTGAATAAATACACGTTATGTTTTAAATATTAATTAAACGGCTCCAAAATCGTGTGTGTAAAATGTGTAAAAAACCTTCTGTATAACTTTTGTATTTTATAATATCATATTTAAATCATCACCGCAGCACGGTTAATTACAGACATATGATGTATATAAGACGATATGAGGTTTGTTTTAATTCTTAGTAAATATCAAGCTGAATATTACGATAAAAGGGTTTCTTAAAATTTCTTATAGGTAATTTAAAATGTTTTACTTAAAATTTCTGATAGATTGAAATGGTACCGTATAAAATTACTAGTGTATACGGATGCTAGCCAGATAAGTTATGAAAGGTGTTTGTTCACTCCAAGAGTAACATTTTGGGGCAGCACTTTTTATGCGATCCATTTAGATGAGCAGGTTCCTGCGTATGGTTTCAGAAAAATTTAAGAGTTTAATGGGAGTTTTCATTTGTAATTAAAAATCGATTAAAATTTAGGCCGGTTACCTTTCGATAAAATAGGAACTTTTACATATACTGTGGAAAAATTTTATTCAAGCAGGGCTTTAGTTTCCTACCCTCATTAATAGAAAAAAAAGCATCGTTATGAAGACTGTATTTCTAAATAAAAAAATTATCTTCGTATAGGTGTAGGTACTATAATCCTAGAGCATCTTTGCGAGAAATTTTAATAGTAGCCAACACTGGCGAATCACCGATGACATCTTTGTTACTCAGAGTTGAAAAGAATAGATAAGACTTTGATAATGTTATCGACAATTTTTTTAACATACACACACACCCGCGGAGCGCGCGCACAGGAAAGGGGGGCAGGATGGGGGGAAAAGATAAAATTAACATTTTGCTTCAAAACTTTCGTTTCAGTTTGTTTCCGTGTACCCCGTTTTAACATTTTGTAGCATTATGGTACGCATTGGAAACAGCAGCAAATATTTATGAACTGTCCTGGACAGAAAAGTTCTGACTGTACTTTAAGCCTCCTCACAATTAAAATTTCTCTGCATATTATTCATCTAAGTCTTATAAGAAGTTTTAAAATGCATCTGAACTGTCTTACATTATAAATAAGCACACTCAAAAAGTACAAGAATAGAATTAAAATCAGGAGGTTTAGACTCACATCTTGAGCAGGGGCCTTCACCTATAACTTCAATTGGCTTTTGGTATCTACAACTGAAGAGATGCAGCTGACATTCAGAACCATAGGAATTTCCATCTGAGCCGCAAACGGTATGGTCTTCAGGGGTTTTAGTGCCTTTATCTTCACTTGTACATTTAAAATCGCAAATGCATTGGGCTTCTCCAAGTTTCTCCTTGCAAGTAGCACCATGGAAGCATTTTAATTGCTCACACGATCCTGATACAGCTTTGGCTATGGAAGCTAAAATGAAAAAATAACGTGAAATACTAAATTTGAATTTAACATTAATTTTAAAATATTTTTACAATGTAATTTTCAAATTTATTACACCTAAGATACTTACTAATAGAGCTTTTAAATAACGAACAAACAACTATATAATCATTTAAAACATATTGCTGATATCATACTAGAAAAAGAAAGGAATCCGCAAAATCGCTGTTTCTGGAAAAACGCATAGTTTGTAATTCATGTAATTTTTTTTTTTTTAAATTTTATAAATAAGACGTGCAACTTCTATGAAATAACATATTTGAGTTTTACGCACATGAAAAGAGCTAAGTACACCAATAATTCGCAGCGGGAATTGCCGTGGAGGGATTAAATAATATAAAATAATTTTATTGTAAATTATTACTTTACATTACGTTAACATTTATTATAGTTATTTTAATTAATTAAAGTAATTCACCTACACGTATAAAATATATAATATTTTAAAGAATGGTCTCATTTCAAACATTTAAAACTAGTACACGTATAAGGTATTTCTCCCGCCCTTTTAGCGAGCAGTCGTGGTGTAGTGGTCAGCATACTTAGCGCGTAATTGAGAGGCCGCGGTTCGATTCCCGGCGAAGGCGCTGCATATTTTTCATCTTGCCTGTATACAAAAAGCACCTAATGTCTCTACACACGTATGGTTTTTCATAGAATTTCACATGTTTTGCATATTCATACAGTAATCTGCAGAATTCATGTTTCATGAGTAAATATCATATTTTAAAATTAATTAAAAATCTTTTAATTGCGGTAGCTTTCACGTCATGAAATTTAAAACCAATAAGAAATACCACAAAACAGCTGTTTGTTAAAAAATCAAATTAAATTGAATTGCTCTGATAGAACAGACCGAATTAACATATTATTACATAAAATTTGCGAAACACTAAATTTAGATAATTTTTATTAATGTTCTCATACGAGTAAACAGTTAATATTATGCTCATAGTGTCGGAAATTATGCTGTTATTATCATCACGTAGCAGTAAATTACGTAGTATTATTGTCATCACGTATCATCACGTAACAGTAAATTTAAAAAGAACACGTAACAAAAAGGTTTAGATTTTGTTTTATTTTGACTATAGTGAATTTAGATTATAGATATATATATATATAGATATATTATATATCCATTACGTTTATTTAATTCTTTCTTATATGTTCGAACAAAAGCTCGATCTAAATAAAATTCCATGTTCGTTGTTCCATACATGTATTGATGAAGAATACATTTATTCGAAAATGTATCGAGTGATTAATATATATAGCCATAATCTATTTAGGGAGAAAAGCAATAACAGTTCATACCATCCATGCACCCATCTGGTCCAAGAACAGTTCCTGGAGGGCATACGTTGCATTTCATTCCTCGGATGCCGTGTCTGCACACACATCTTCCAGTCGTTTGCTCGCAGTCATCCCGGACAGATCCATATGTGTCACATTTACAAGCTGGAAAAAGAAACAAGAATTATTTTCACAAATAAGAAAATTTTTTCTTCTAAATACATCTTTTCAACATGTAGTTAGAAATAAATTATATTTATAAATATTTTAAGAGATGTATAAAAAAATAAATTTGTTAAAATATGTAACCAATCCTGTTAGTGCTTTCTTTCTATATCTTCTGTTTGGGGCTAAATAAATGATAGCATAAGAAGGTATAAGTCTCGCGATTTAAAATTTAGACCATAAAACGAAATTATAAGAATGAGAAAACAGTATAACGTTATAAGCAATAAACTCCTAGAGAAAACTTATTCCGTTAAGTAATAACGGAATAAGATTTCCAAGTAATAAAATTCTAAATTTTTAATATAGTAAGACCACAAAATTAATTAAAAAAATAATTTTAAGACCTACTTTAAATTAAAGCTATAATTCTTTATATGTTTCCTTTTTGGAAAAGGGCTTTATGAAACATATGCTACTATAGTCAAATTTTATAAATCCTAGATCTCGTTTACTCATTTAAAAAAAATAAATACAGGTAAAATTTGGTACATTGTAATTATTAGGAGTACTCAAAAGCTAAAGATTCTAAATTAATTATTAAAACTTTATTTCAGCTCATTCAGTGGCATATTAATTATTACTAACATAGACAAAAAGCACTATAATAAATTTATTTAACTTTTGCCTTTAAGTTATTAAGTTTAATTTATTTTGCCTTTAAGTTATTAAGTTTAATTTAGTTTTACCTTTAAGTTATTAAGTTTAATGTATTTGCCTTAAATTTACAAACATCCTTTACTACTGCAGAGCTCCTACGATTCTCCTTTTCTGTTGCTCTTTTGGAGAGGACAGATTAGGTTACCTTTATCAGATATGGAAAAGCAATCAAGGGCTATCTGGCTAAGGAGAGAGATGTCTCCCTCGAGGACTTTATAAGGTAAACGAGTTCATATTTGGATTACACATAGGGAAAAATCACAAAGAAAGCTATGTATCTATCCGTTCGCCTGAGATCGAACCCAGGTCGAACTGCCTCTATTTAGTGGTCTTAACCACTCGGTCACTGATAGGGTGAGAGGGAAGAGGAAAACCTGAGATATAACGGAATAAGCACTCATTCGTTTCCTAATTGTGAAAATACTTTGCAAAATAATGCGAAAAGTAGAAATGTGAAATTTTTGTTATTAAACAGTCTTTTTGTTATATAGAAGATTTAATGGGATTGCAGTTAATGGCATCATTCGGTTATTGTTATCGAATTGCTGAAGTCTCTCAAATTTGTATAAGAAAATATGGGAAACATATCGTTTACTGTGATAAACCAGTAGATGAATGTTATCAAAACATTGTAAAACGAAATTTCTTATATTGAAATAAATTCACCAAATAAAAGATAAAATTGCCAAATCAAGTTAAAATAGAGGGCAAGATTTGCCAAATGACAAAACTATGTCCCCTATTACAGGATTAAGTAGCCAAAATATCTTGATTTTGATTTAAGCCAATCATGTAGAAAGAAATCCGCTTTTCAAATTTTAGGAAGATTAGTTGAACTAACAGTTTTATGAATCAGATTCTAGAAGGTTTTTGCTTTTTGTAGTCGAAATACCTCTCCGCTTGGTTTGAGATTTTCAGTTTCATGAATGATCTGTTCTAGGAAACACTTTTTTTCACTTTGTTGAGTCATTTTTCTCATGCAGACTAGCAAAAAGGCGTAATGATCTAAGGGATAAAAGCGACTTGCTCACATACAATGACCAAGTTCTCGAAAACGAGTCAACCGAATATTTTTAAGTTAATGCACGATTTTAAAGAAAGAAATCGTGTTGATATTATATCAAACTACAGCAAAACTGAAAGCAGGATGCTTAACGGGAACGATCACATAGCGCAAGAAAAGAAAGCAGATCTGTGTGTTGAGAAAGATGTGGTAGTCATTGGTGAGACGGAAAGCTGAAAAATTAGTCGTAAAAATTAGATAAAAGGATTTTTATAGTGAGAGATTGACTGGTTTATCCAGCAGAAGAAAAGAAAAAATATCTTATTTACAAACGCATTTATAATAAAGGAAAATATGCTGATTTACCTCCTACAGGCACAGGGCTCTCAAATTAAGGGCTTGTTCATACAATCGATAATTGCTGCAATACATATATTTCTGTTCTATATGAATGGGGGCCATTCAGTAATCGGAAAAAAGAAAATCTCAGTTGCTTTAAAGGAGTAAAGACTTTGATAGTGGATTATGGTTAATAAATACCTTGGATAGGAGGATAAGAAACCGAAGAATAATATCCCTCTTCTGCTGCCCAGACAGTATAGTGGTTAGGAGAGCCAACTGTGATATTAAAGGGCCCGGCTTCGAATCCCGGAGAAGACATGGATATAAATTATCTATCCTTTCATAGGAAATAACGGTGGCGCCTATTAGGACCACCGCTTCTGGCCTTAGTAGTGGCGAAAGCGTAAAATGCGTAGTGCCAGGCATAAAAAAATCTTCTCCTGACAGACATTTGCACAGCACATATATCTTTCTTAAGTATATTCAAAATGTATGTTTACTAGAAAATATCACAGCCACAATACAACCATGTGATCCAAGGGGTGTTATTAGAGTGATGAAAAAATATTATCACCGTGAGATGAGAGATTATAATAACATAGATGATACTGATATAAATGCAAAATAATTAATTAAAGTAATTTAATCTTCCTGATGTGCTACATTTGCTGAACATGTCTTAGAACCGCATCTCAGAAAAGACGCAAAGAACCTTTTCAAGCCGGCCTACCTTTTAATAAATGATGACATTGATGGAAGGCAAAAAGAACCACACGGGCATCTCTAACTCAAATAAATTCCGAAGAATTTAAGAATTGTATGGATATTGGTGGTAATATTCTAATTTTAGTATTAAGGTAGAAGAATATATCTACCAGGTAATTTTCTAAAACAAATCCAAACATATCACGTGATAAACGTTCTGAAGAAGATGATAAAATAGGCGAATTTCTAAAAAGATGCTGAGATGGAGAATGCTCTGTGACTGTTAGGATTATGACATCGGTCAGTAATAAGTTTATGAATATGAACAAGCGTAAATATATTTTTGCGTAAAAAATGTAGGAAACCCACTATTAATAACCTTTCCCTATTTAAATTGGCTTAGAAATAAATATTTATATGTTTCAAGGTACATTTATATTTAATTAGTTAAATTCCATTGATGTTTTGTAGGATATGTTTTCGCATTATTTAATGTTACCAAAACAGCCACGGACAAATGTAATCACATAAGCAGCGGGTACTCTATTAGTTACATATTTCCATACAATAGATGCCGTCAAAGAATAATTAATAACTAAATGGCATCGACGAAAGAAAAACGCTAAGTGTATTTAATAGTATCATGAATTAAATCGCTGATCAGCGTCAGATTAAGTCTGCATGGAAGCATTCGTCCAGATGTTAAGAGCATCAGAAGCTTATAATTTTTTTAAGGTTTAAGAAACTAGTAGTAGAAGTGACTTTTCAAAAGTGGCAGTTCTACTGTGAGACTCTTGACAGCATTTGGAAATCGGACAGAGGACATAGTCAGAACAGAATCTTTTCCGCAGTAGTTTGTAATTATTGATGCTTTGAGGGTCAGAATAACAGATGGCGTATCAAGTGTTATAGAGCAAATGCTGCAAAATACGCGCCGAGATCTGGTTACTTGATATTAACCAGTCTACAAAGAGGAAACACGATGAAATTTACTTACAGAGTATTGTTCACAAAACAACTCAATTGCTGCAGTTATTACTTCCAGGAAAAGACATACATTTATAATGCAATGTTCAGACAATTTTTAAACCAGATAAAGTCTATGTTCACTTTGCATTACGCTTAGTATTATGATGTTACCATTACGCTATGTTTCTTATGTGTTGCACTACTATGCTACGTTTTTACTGCACAACTATGGTACAGTATTTTTATCCGGCTATGGTTTTTATGTATTCGACTACGACTTATTATATTGTGCTATTTTATTTGCGATACGTGTTTTCTTTTGTTCTATCAACTAACATAGTAACAATATTATTTAACAGTATTACTTCTCTACTTCTCTTTTTTTCAGAAAGTCACCAGTATATTTTATACCAGAAAAGAGGAACACCATCGCGAAGTTTGAGTACTTCTGTACCATACAGACATTTAAAAAACATTTTGTCTATATAAAGCGAATAGTATAAATTATACTCTAGAATCATTGCTAAAATCAGGGCTAAGATTTCTGTGACAAACATTTAACAAATGCAATTGTGCTTAAAGGACTTTTGATTACAAAATTTCTTAAAACTTACGAGAACATCCGTGATTCCCTTCAGATATTTTATGTAGTCCCCAGTATCCTGATTCACATCTATCACAATGGAGTCCACCTACTCCTGGTTTGCAAGGACACTGCTGGGATGCCGGATCGCATGTTAAACTGTAAGATCCAAGGCGATTGCAATTGCACTGACCTAAAGAATCACATTGGTTAAACATATAGTTCATATATTTAATTTTATTTATACGACATAATTGTTACATAATTATTTGTTACAGAATCTTTAATAAAATATCTATGCATTCATTATTTTTGCAATGAACACTCATTAAAGACCTAATTTTGCATAATTTTCATCTAGGATCGTTATAAGGATTTCTATACATTTAGCTGATTTCTCTTATAAATAATTAAGCTGCACAACTAGTATGTGCAATATAATATAACATTTATTAAATGAGATAATAAATCCTGCATGACATACAATTACCATACGTCAAACTTGTCACTTATGTTTATTTTTGTTTCCATTTACATATTACTCCTTTTTCTGTTTAACGTATTTCTTTCCAAAAGTCAGATAGAGTTGTTGAAAGAATTCATTTTTCAATTATTTTAGTACTGGCTTTAAAGCAGGGGTTATGTTCGAGCTACATTGTTTTTCTAGCGGACCCAGGTTTATATGGCAATTAGAACCAACTGCTATTCCTCTTTAAAGATTTTAATAGCGAAGCTGTCGATTGATGGCACCATCGAAGCTGGACTTCATTGAAGCTTTGCTAAATGGGCTCCTCAGGGACCATGACTTGACGCTTCGAACGATCAAGCTAAAAGTACACTAAAAACTTTGAAGATTATCCTTGACTTACAGAAACTTATACTTAATAACTAAATCGGATTGTGCTTCCCTTCATCAGATTAAATTCTAACTGAAACCAGAATACTGTGCCGATACCTTTCATTGTTAAACGTGAAATGATTTTCTTATATTTTAAGCCTAAGGTTTATTTGAGGATTTTTTAGGAAAAAAACGTTTCTTTAAACATTTTTAAGTTGTTGCTTGTCTAAGAATTAAATATAATACTCTATTTAGGAAGCCCATTTATGATACATTATGGAAATGCTTTATAAGCTAAATAAAAAATTGAGTTAATTTAATGCATAACACGGCCTTAGTTGTCATAATTTTTTAATTGCATATAAGGTATTCATTTACACTGAGGTAATAATCATGCAAAATAATACAAAATATAATCTTTTGATGAGTTATTTCAAAAAGCATCCACCTGCAATTAAGCATGGCCCAGAACAAAGCAACTCATGTGCAGCCATACATCACATAGTGATGAACACCGAAACAAAAGCTGAGAAAGGATCTATACTTACTGTAAGAAACCTTGTTAGAGAACAGTAATAAGTTATAATTGGAATGTACCTCGAAAAGAACAAAAGCAAACTCGCAAGAACGATTATTGTCTCTCCTGACGCCTACGTTCATTAGTTTTGTTTGACTGAGCCATCAATAAGACGAGTCTGTGTCACGATTGAGATGACACGGTGGGAAGAAAAATAACAGTCATCGTTAGCCAGAAACACTCACTTGGGCATCCGGCTTGGTCCGACCCCTGTGCTGCTGTTTTTCCATCCGGACAGCAGCCATGGATTGTATCGGCGCAGCTCTTGATGACAATCACTGAAAAGAAAAAGTCTCATTTGTGGATTTCTAAAAATGTTTGTTAAAATTTTGCCAATAACAACGATTCAATTCATTACATTTTGATTCTAACAACCATTAAATATACAGAAGTTACGGTGTTTTGTAATATGAATGATTTATTATTGTAATATAGTTAAAATTTTATGCAAAAATTCACTCTATTTAAATTATTCAGCTTGAAAAATCTACCTGAATAATTGAAAAAGAAAATTTAATTTCTTATTCTGAACTGCAGAAGAGGATTTGAAAGTTACCTACTCGTATTTTCAACTTAATAATGAACTAGCAGGTTTTTGAAAGATAAAATAATTCACATTCATTATTCACAATAAGATGCCAAATGAAACAAGAAATAGCTCCATTACGTATATTAAACTATTGAAGAAAAATATTAAAATTAAAACTGTAAAACTTTAAAGATGACAATGACGAGAAATGGTTCTTAAGTTTAAGAAGTGGATTCGTATAAAGTTCAGTTTAATGTCTGGCAATATTTACTTTATTCTGAGTAACACCTTAATTCATTTCGATAGAGAGATGACAGATTCTCTGAACTGCTAATATTTTCCAAATTTCTTCTTGAGCTGGTGAAACCGGTTTTTTTCCTTATGAAATAAGTTTCTATATTCTTCATTACTTGCAAGTTTTAACTAATATTTATTTCACTTTTTCTTATTGGAGGGCTCTGTTTATATTTTTAGACTATTTTTTTTCTTATTTTACTTGAGACATAATGGTTACAGAACCACGTAAAAACAATAGGGTAGTTTAAAGAGATATCATTACAAGATACAGAACAATTCGGACGAATTAAACATAATAAGCAGATAAGAACTGAACACGAATTATTATCTGTGTTCAATTAAATGCATATTTATTTAAATCAAATTAAAAGTAAAAAAAAAATATTATTAAAAGCTTCGCACATTGCTTTTAAATCTCCTAGTTTGTTAAGCAGTTAACTGATAGATTAAATTTGAAAGTCAAGTGCCTTACGTTTTGCCGAATGCTGAATTTTCCTGCAGTTAGTGCACATCGCTTTTAAATAGCGGACTTCATTGACTGAATTTGAATGGCTGAACGGCAACACACTGGCGCGCGGAAGATAAAAATATTTTATTTCAAGCAACAGATGATTTTTGTATGCAATTTTGTTAATAAAAATTTATTAAATTAGCAATACTAATAAAATATATAAAATATGAAGTAAATAAAAAGCAAATTCAAAGTTAAAAGTTCGAGTTGAGGACTATGTGTGTTGCCGTTATTTTTCCACAGAGCGAGGAACAAGCAAACATACATACATAAATGTGATAATTTTGTAGATTATTACTTGACGATTTAACTATAGCAATATTTTAATATGCTTATGAAAGAAGACACCAATTATTTTTTAGTTATGGCTGAGATGGTTATAGATATTGCTGGCATGCAGATAAGATGGGTAATAGACAGATGGAATTTGAAGACCAAAAATAGTTGTAGATTCACTTAAGTTTATTTCTTGACGAAAAATTTTTAGAACGTATATTCTCTTTTATACATCACCATAGATGTCACAAACACATCATTCTGTAAATACAACTTATCGCATTTCAAGACAATAGACGATACAGAAAAGCAAGGAGACACGCGTTAGCAGGATAAGAAACAGTAGATAGTAGGAAAAGGTACTGCGCATTTCAGCAAAAAGTTACTTACGGAATCGAATTCTTTGTTTAAATTTTGGACTGCGATTGGACAAAAGCTTTACCGCACTGTATATTTAAAGATGACATAATGCGGATTAATTTTTAGGTATGATGCACTTGGTATCCAAAGAAAGGAACGTAACCAAACTAAAATGAAGAATTAGCAGGACTATTGCTAAATTAGATTAATAATTTTTTTCATATATTATGTATTATATTTATATTATATACAAATGTACGTAGGATAAAAAAACGTGAAGCTCAAAATTTATAACTTTAATTTATACTTTTAATTACTGATTTTAATTTGGTTACGTCAACTTTTTGGAATTTACAGTGAGACGTGTGAAAATTAATTTGTTTCGCGTTTTTATTATCGTACTGAAGTGAAACAGCTCTTGGTAAAACGCATTAAATGAGATTTTTACGATACATATCACTGCTACTATTGCGCACCGTTTTTTCTATACTCCGCTCGCTGCTAGTTACACGTGCTACTTTGTCGTTCTGAATTGTCTCCGTGTGTGAGAACGTAAGCTTTGAAAATTGTGCCGGTCGCACCCGTGATTATATATCTATGTGAACCTGCTTAATTACGAAATAAAATTATGTTTTAAATGCCACATTTCTCTTCAAAGAATTACCCGTTTATCTATGCAGTTGTTTAATTCGAATCCTCAAGTCATGATCTATGTCAAAATATTACATACATACAATACATATTTTTCATTATTAAATAACTCTGATAATACGTATTTAGATTTTGAAACACCATTTTTTTCTTAAACAAAATAATATTTTGCACAACAGAAGTTAAAATTGAATTAAGTTCAAACACTGCACGTAAATATTTTTACATTGAACTATTCTTAACTTAATATAAATTATGGAATTCCTACCTTCTTTGCAACACTTTGCAAACTCTGCAGTCCTATGGCAATAGCTACTAGGTGGACAGTTCTTTGAGTCTGGACCATCGCCACAGAAATAATCCTTTCCCGTTACTGGATTAATCAGAGGTTTCTCACCGTCACAGGCAACTTCAACTCTCTCTACCAAAAACATAAATAAGAATAAATTTCGCTACTAATATATTAATTATTTTGAAACTGAAATGAACTCTTATTTGCGTATTTCATACCAAATAAAATAATTTAATTAGTTTTGCCTATACATATGTGAAAGTAAAATGTAAAATATTGATTTATAAATGACGATAAAAGAACCGCTCATTAATTGTGAAATTTCATATCAGAGTTTTAGAGAAAATCAACGTGCTCAGAAAAGTTTCGTTATTCGTTATAAGCATTAAAATTAATTTTAGTAATCATATTTGGCGTTAAATATTTGATATGTTTTAAATTTTCTTCTCTAAAAGAATCTCTTACATTTATTTTTGAATTATGTTATTTCTTAATAATTTTAAAAATGGAATGAAATTCACTAATTTACAAAAATTGAAAATTCTATTCTCTCTAAACAAAATTTTTAAAATCGAACCTTATATATTTATTATAATGTAACAAACATCTTATATTTAATGTCTCTACAAGATACAATTTTTTAAAATTTTTTGTCTCTATTAGTTAATTAATAAAAAACATCTGCATTTATCATACAATTTAAGATTTTGTTAAATTCATAAATATTTACATATGCAGTTTCGACATTCCCCCAATAATTTTTGTATCCGCAGAACACGAAGGCAAAAATAAGAACATAAGAATTCAAAATTTAACCATTGTTAAGAAAAATAAGTCTGAAGTTCGAGTGTAACCCAGAACTTAAAAACTTATAAAGCCAGGCTACATAAAAAACATATCCTGGCGTTCTAAGAAATCCCGCCGCTTTTTTTTAGTGCCTACCTTGAAAATAATGTATAATAAAAAATATAAAATTAAATACCCAGAATTCATACTTAAAACATTTGTGTTACGAAAGTTAATGAATATTGTGTACCATAAAATTTGATGAAAAAGAGTGAAATTCGCATGAAATTACACGAAGAATGTGTGCTAGCAAGCCGGCATCTATCATCAGACGATATCGCTTCAAGAATTGTCATCGTATCGTCCAAGCCTTTGGTGGCAGTTGTTGGACCGGTTTTTTTCCTCTTCTGCTGCTGGCGTTCGGGGGTGTAGGACGGGCTTCGGTCTGTCCTCTCTCCCTGGCCGATGCGATGTGCCATTTTCCTGCTTCGCTTTTTGCTGTTCCTTCGATGCTGTCTGCCATAGATGAAAATCCTTTTAGTGAGATTTTTACATGAAGATTCAAGAAAATAATTACTCCTGTTCCTGTACATTGCTGCAGAAAATAATTTTTGTTCGGCTTCTTCCTCCTTTTGAGAAATCTTCGCAGCACGTGTTTGTGAAATCTGAAACTTCCTGATCTAAAGAAGAAAATGCAAAAATACCAGGATTGATCAAGTATGCTTAATGACTGCCATCAAATTTTGATTGTTCCTTTTACACCAAGACTTTGTTTCGAGCTGGATCAGAAAGATTGACTTTATTCTGAGTGCAACGTTAACTCTGGTGATGCGCATCACTCGTGCTTGATGTTCAAATATTTTCGTCTGTCTGGTTGATAAAATTATTTATATTAATGCTTATTTCAATATCAAAGATGAAGAATAAAATATAATTGACTTGGTAACATACAGTAGTCATACTCTGGGGTAAGTACTTTATTTTGCTGTCCTCTGTGGGTCACATATTTTATCCCTGTCATTCGGGTTATTGCGGAAACAACGTGATGTACTCTTAATCATTGTTATAATTTCTTCTTCGCTGATAATTACATAAGAAATTAAAATATATAAAATTTTTACTGCCACAAAATATTTTCACTACATATAGCTCCTCTTCCAATTAATATTTCACCACATATGGTGCCATAATATTTTTACCACATACTACAATATATTTTCACACATATGTGCCGTGACAAAAGAAATAACTTAAAATCATTTAGTTCAGGTTGAGAATTCAAATAAAATGTGTGACCTATAGTATATTTGCTACACATATGATTTATATTGTTGAAAATTTATGATAAATGATAGGGTAATATGCCATGAAAGAGTAATTCTATTTTGGATAATTCAAAAATTCAATTTCATATGTATTGTTATATATATGTGCATATTTAAAGAAAGTTTTAAGATATTTGAATCAAAAGCTGATTTCAGTAATTTCATTGGATTGTGGTATGTAATGATAAAATAATGTTCAGCAGTATTAGAATCCAGAAGTGTTAATGATCAATGTACTTATATTGCATCACTAATTTGATATATGCATGGTTGAAGTTACAGGAGATCCTAATTAATTACTAAAATAAAAAAAATAAAAAAAATTACCTTAACTTTGCTATCTACTCTTATATGCATGTTTGGTAAATGTATATGTAAATTATCAGAGAGAGTGCTAAGTGTTTGTGTAAAATAATGTAGATCTCAATAACATTAAAATAGAAATAGCAGATTGTAAGGTAATGCAACATAAGTAACTATATTTCTTCATCCATGTCAAAGCTTAAAGGTAGATCTAACATTGGTATGGCAACTTCTCTAGCTTCTGCTCTGCCCACATTTAGTGGCAACTTATCTGAAAATGTAAATTTCTTTCTTGATCAAATAAATAGTGTTGCTAAATTAGAAAAATGGTCAGATGAAAAGAAAATAATCATTCTGAAAATAAACTGTAGGGATAAAGCTCTAGATTTCCTAATTAATGATCCAAGAGTGGCTAAGGAAAATAAATTTGAAAATTTAGAAAAATTATTAAAGAATAAATTTGCACGAGTTGAATCCTTTCAGGACATTCTACAGCAATTCTCAAACATTTCTCAAAAGTGTAACCAATCTGTTAGGGAATTAGCTGACGAGATTACTACAACAGCGACAAAATACATAAATGAAGATTCGGTTGAGGATTCTAGTTTACATAAATTAAAAGAGAAAATGAAGCTCACTAAATTTCTTGAGGCCCTCAGAACAGACATTAGGATTGAAGTTAAGAAATTGGGTCCATCTTCCTTTGATAAGGCTGTAGAATTGGCAAGTAATATAGAAAATGCATTGAATGATGAGAAAACATATTTGAACAGTATAAATGTTGAGCAAAATTTAGAGATTAATAATCTTCTCAAAGAAAGACTTGAACAGAATAAGATTATTCAGGAGCTAACAGATAAAGTAAATCAACTTTCTCAAAATAAGCCTATAAACACATCTTATACAAGAATAAATCACAATGCTTCTACATCTCAAAATTCTAGCAACTTTAATAGTGTATCTTGTCATATATGTAGCAAAAGACACTTAACAACAGATTGTTGGTATTTTCCTAGGCAAGACCAGCATAATTTTAGAAACAACACATTCAGGGGACACAGACAATTTCGAAACACTTGGCGGAGGAACTATCATCCTTACAGAAATAATAGTCAATACAAAAAAGGTCAGAATAAGCATTTAAACTAGCTAAGGATTCTTGCCAGATATATTACAACAAAAATTTTAGACCCCTTGCAGAATCCGCAGAGACTGGGGTTATAAAGAACACCTGTATAGACATCATAATCCAAGAAAGATCCAAAGTAACAGCAATAATGTCCAACACAAGTTTGCAAAAAATAAAAGATGTAATAATAGAAACTCAATCAAATTGTTGATGTCTTGTAACTCAGAAAATTCTAATTATCTGCCAATAATCAAACTTAAAATTGGTTCTCAGACTTATGAAGCTCTTCTTGATACTGGTGCTAATTTATCTTTAGTCCAACCAGATGTTATTGAGGAAATTAAACAATTCACTAAAGTTGAATTTGTTTCTCGGATGGTAAGAATAAAAACTATTGAAGATTCATGCATCCCTTACATGTCTGCAGTTAATTTAAAATTCAAAATTCAAAGTAAATGGTTCACTAATTTATTTTATGTCACCCAAAACAATTGGAATTCTACTTATCAGATAATCCTAGGTTATGACTTCATTCAAAGTAACAAAATTTTGTTAGATTCCATAAATAAGAAACTCATAGTAGATAATACTCATTTGGACTTTGAAGAAAATTATCCCAATAAAAAATTAAGCAACTCAGTTAATGTAAGAAGAAAAAATTGTAATTTAAATCTCATTAAGAATGGTTTCTAATATAACTGTCCAGCCAGGTCAATCTCAAATCATTTCTTTAGCTGTTCCTGAAGCTTTAAAACAATTTAAAGAAATTTTGCTTTCTCCAAAGCCATCAAAAAATAAGTTCCATATCAATGAATCTTTACATATAGTTGATTGTCACAACCACATTCAAACTATTGTTGAAAACAACACCAATGAGAAATTAATTCTTAGGAAGAATTCTGTTATTGGAACTGCTGTGCCATTTCACTTTGAGGATATTGTTAGTCCCAAAAATCATGAGACTTTACAAATCAACACACTAAATCTGCAAGAAGTAATTAAACTTAGAAAAGAGGAATTAAATGTATCAGACTTTAAACTAGATCATTTAAATGAACAAGCAAAAAATGAAATGATAGAATTGCTAATGAATAACTATGCTGTGTTTTCAAAATCATATAATACTTTAGGATCTACTGATAAAGTTGTACCAGAATTTAAACTTCTTCACAATTTCCCAATTCAAACTAGACCTTACCCTATTCCTAAAATTGCAAAACAGTATGCTCAACAAGAAATTGCAAAATTATTAGAAGCAGGCATAATAGAACCCTCTTCTTCAAGTTATAGTTTTCCTGTAATATTTGTTAGGAAAAAGAATTTACCTGGTGAAGATAAAAATGCACCAAAATTTCGTATGGTTGTAGATTATCGTCTATTAAACTGTATCACAGAATCATACAAAATTTGTTTACCAAAAATTTCTGAGATTTTGCATAACATTGCTGGTAGGAAATTGTATTGTGTACTGGATTTGAAGTCAGCCTTTTTCCAGATCAATTTGCAGGACTCTGATAAAGAAAAGTTGGCATTTTGCACCGAACTGGGTAATTTTCATCCTTGTAGACTTCCCTTTGGAGCTCGCAATAGCACTTCTTATTTCCATACATTAATTTCAAAATGTTTAAATGACATTAAAGGTAGTAATGTTCAATTTTTTCTAGACGACATTATTATTGCAGCTGATAGTATGAGTGAGTTAAAAGTAATTCTTCAAAAAGTGTTTGACAGATTAAAATCATTTAATTTAACTCTAGATCCAGCTAAAGTGCAGCTCTGTAAATCTGAAATAACTTATTTGGGTTTCAATATTTCACAAGCAGGTTTTTCTCCTTCTGAAGAAAATATTTCAAAGGTTACAAGATTTCCTATTCCAAAGGATGTAAAACAAGTTCAGGCTTTTCTTGGCATGATGAACTATTTTAGACATTTAATCCATAATTTTGCTGAGATCACTCAGCCAATAGTACACTTAACTAAAAGACATGTTCCCTTTGTTTGGAATCAAGATTGCCAAGATGCTTTTGATAAATTACAATCAATAATGTTGGACAAACCAACTATAAGGAACATTGATGATAATCATGAGATATTTTTGATCACTGATGCTTCTAAAGTAGCTATGTGTGGTATTCTGTTACAAAAGATTGATGATAAATTCTTTCCTGTAGAATTTTATTCGAAACTTCTCACTCCTGCTGAGTCTAGATACCCATCGATCAGGCGTGAGCTTTATGCTATTTTTTCTTCTGTCAAGCATTTTTATGAACATTTATATGGCAAAAAATTTACTATTTTAACTGATGCTAGACCACTCACTTTTCATATGCAGCTGGATAAGCAGCCTGACATTGTTGCCAGATGGTTGTTGTATTTACAAGATTTTGATTACTCTCTAAAACATATACCTGGTTTTTCCAATCCTGCAGATTTTCTTTCTAGAGTTCCTGAAGCATCTCATAGTGTAAACAATATCAACTTATTTCATTCAGATAATACTCAGTTAAGCATCCAAAATATAGTTAATCACCAAAGAAATGACAAAAATATTAAGGATATCTTAAGCCAAATTAACAATAATAAAGCTGATATTTGTGGAAAATATTTTATTGATAAAAAAAAATGGTGTAGTAATGATAAAATTAAGACCTAGAGCGCATCATTTAAAGACAAGGCATTTAGAAAATAAAATTCTACTTCCAA